CGGTCAATATTGAAAAAACCGCACTAAGTTCATCTTACATTTGCATTTTCGGCGAACGAAAAAAAATATTTCTATAAAGTCAGATAGAAAAGAACTCGTGGTGTCTGTAGATGAAACCGATAAGAAAAAATAATTAAAACAAAGGCACTATGGATGGTTTGCTTTTTACAAGAAACCTAACCAATCTCACTCTTAACGCAACTCCAAAAGTATCCCAACATTTTGAAACTAACGCCTTTTCAATAGATTGATCTGTGCGTGTGTGTTTTTTTTAATTTGCCTCGAGTTGTGCTATTCTTAATATTTAGGATATCCGGGTGCTGCTGAGATGTGCTTGGCTGGGATAGTGATTCACTCTGTGGCACCGAGAGCTCACTTGGCTTTAAATCAGATATTCAAGAAACACAAGCGTGCATAAGCGACATGGTGTCGCCGAATTCTGCCTTCTTTGATTGAAGCACCTGCCCTCGGGCGAATTGGCGATTGCGTTTACAAGATGTTTTCTCTTTGGCACAAGCTAACCATTAAAATTCCATCCAACAGTCTTCTGTTTTGGGACATCTTTTCAGTTGAGAAAAAAAAATAATCCATCAAAACTGTCTTTACTGTCATTAAATGACTTCCGCAAATTCGAACGTAAAAAAAATAAACATGCTCGACCGAGTAAATATGTCTCATCCGCCTAAAACATTTTGGTGATGTTTCAAAATAAGAGAAAAAAAAGCGTCTTCTCTTGACATTATGAGGACTTACAACTAATCTTTTGTTTCTGTTTTAGATAAGAAAGATACGGAAAGAAAAGAATTACCACTCACCCGCAAGAACAAAATAGCGAAGGGTGTGGATTCTGCAAAGCGACATTACCATCACAAAAGATACTGTAAAATATTCGCCTAAAGTTTCTGTCTCGAGTCATATACAAGTGTAATTCTTATTAATAAAGACACTGGTTTAGCTATGATTTAAAATGACATAGAGATTTCTTACCGATAAGAGTTCGTTGCTGGTGACTATTAAAAAAAAAAGATAGAATTCTCTGACTTGTGTAAGTGTAAGAAGCCCAGATTCACTCTCCTAGGGTCACATAGCCATGCATACGAGCCTTCGTTTTGAGAGGAACATAGTCAAACTACAGACCACCGAATGCTGATCGCCACCTGAGTACACTGTATTTACTTCAGGTTTAACAGTATCTGTTTTACCACTAGTTCTGTAAATCCATAAACGATAAAATGAACAAAATAGACAAAAATTAGAGTAAGACATGTATATATCCGATGATTAACCGCGAAATGGATCTTGTTCAGCGTATTTTACGAAATTTGAGTCTATTAGGACCAAGGTTGATTTTAAGATTGTTATAATCAGTATTTCAACTAATTTTTGGATTATTTTCAGTGTGTACAAGGATGGTTATTACACAAGAGATTTAGGGACGTACTGTAACTTGCAGGTGACGAAAACCGTATTTGTCGTATTTGTTTTCATCTCCTACCATAGTGAGTCAGCCTTGTCTAAGATGGATAAGAGAGTTGTTGTCAGCGAAGCAGACTTACATATTTTGTGTTAGAAACCCAACGATGTTCTGAGATCTTCTTTACGAAAATCTAATTTATTTAACTCAATCATATAGGTTTCGTTTTGTGTCCTCATCAACGATTCTATAAAACAGTTTAGAGTGCACCGTGAAGTTTTTAAAAGAAATTGCTTAATGTGTATCAGACATATTGGTTTTTAAGGGTCCGAAAATGAATAGACTGCTGTAATGGTCGAATCAGTATGAACGATAAATTGAATTTATTAGAAGACAGAAATCTTGCCACCGAAAGCATTATTGCATTTAAGTTTCGCTGACAAGTGAAAAGCTATCAATTTCACACAAACTAAAACATTCTGTTGGTAGCAGTAAGGCTTGTTCGATCTCCAAGATCAATAGAAAGGATTTAAAGAAAGACTTGCTTTAGTCGTTTTAACATACGAGATTGAGATCCAATATTCAGGTAAGTCAAACGACCTCCTGGAGTGAGCTACACGATTCTTCGTTTAAAACATTTGTACGTATTTGTAGATATATCCTAAATTTATTTCTGTGCCTTAGACTCAAAAAGTCAAAATTTAGCAGTCACTGTATTCAGCTAGAATACTGTGGCAGGCGCAAGGAGTTGAAATAACGCTGTTGTTTTGGCGGGGAAGTAGGGGTACGATAGTAGGCATTTCAATCCCGAACGATCAAAATATCGAGAAGGAAAGGTCTCTCTTGTGCTAAGTCAAAAACATCTTTTCTGCCCCTTCCGAGATTGATTATAATCCAATTGGGCGTTAAATATACAAAAGTCTAATGCCATGAGAACAACAAACACAAAGAGACCACGTTGCTTAAACTGGAATGGGGGAAATTACGTTCTATACTTCAGCTTTTTCTCTAAAGCCAAACGCCGCTGTCTTGCTTCAGATTTAAGTTGTCAGTAAAATTACTAACTGCAGCATTTACACATACCAGAACCCTCTCATTTTAAATATCAAATTCTTTTCTCGTCAACAAAAGACACTTCATCATGTTTGTAATATTAAAACTACTAGTTTGAGGTCGGAACAATGCATCGGAAATACTTAATAGCAGATTAAAGCGGTCGCGAACAGTCGCAAAATATTACACGGAAATGCTTATGAGCAGGTAAATAAACTATCATCACGTATGGATCTTTGTACAGTGCGATTTGCACCAATTAACTCGCAACGATAGCCAGAATATCTCAAGGACCACTAGCCCATAGAGTGGAAGAACTTCGGGAGTGGTTTTTGTTTTCTTAACAAAATAAGTAATTACATTAGAAAAGTCGTATTTTCATTGTGCAAAATGCTCGTGATATCTTTAGCATTAAAAGTTCCTTTTTATTACCGTCCCTTAAAGCACGCGGTTTTATTATGTCCTTTGTACGCACACATTCTAATAAGTGAATTTCGTGGTAATTAATAATTAATCAAAGCCTCAACCTCAAATAAGTAACAAAAAATGAATATTTTCTCTTCAGTCAACGCTCCGGTCATAACACCTCGGGGAAAGAAAAAAAAAAGAAAAATTGAAATGCTGACAACCTCTGAACTAATTGAAACTTCTTTTAATTAAAGCCAAATTGACTTGGATTTCGTGCTCAGCGATTGGCATTTAAAATTTGCTCGTTCCTCTTTAATACAAACCCGAGAACTTCCCTCTCGTTTACCAGAATGATTGTATTTTAATATTCAAAAGACTCGATTTCTATCTTAGCTCGCGTCTCTGCGGATTTTTCCAACCGGCGCCCATGAAAGTGAAAAATAAATTCAATTTGAAAATGGATCAAATTTCAGCCGTTATGTTGGAACTTACAGTATATTTGTAAACTTTTGCGCGTTGTACCTGTCTAAAATACATTTTTAAAATTCACGGGAAACCAAATTAGACACATTATCTTATCTCTTTCGGATATCGTCTCGAATTTACAGATAAATTAGTTTTCTAAAGATTCATTTGGCGAATTAGTATAGGAGATTTCTATTTCTGCGCAAAGAAAAACAATGTAATGTTTATCGTAGATTTCAATAAGCAAAGTGAAAGAAGTAATAAAACCATCAAGAGTCGCCATCTCTCTCGCGATTGAAGGAAAAAATTCAACATTTCACGCTCTAAAGCGACATTTGTAGAATTCATTGGGGCCTCACAAATAATAACTATGTAAAAATGTTAATGGCTCAATTTAGAAAATTTTATTAATTCTGTAGTAATCAGCACAACGAATATCTGCAGCTGCCGGAGAGACTATCGCATTTTGTACTTTATGTTGTCACGCATAAAGCAAAAATCACTCACATTGAGCTCAGTTTGTTCTGGGATTTCCTCTCACACAAGGCAGTGTTATTGGTATCTCTCAAGCTTTTCTCCGGGCTATTAAACCCTTTGTGTGTTTGCAAGCAAAGTTGTCGTCCGTGATTAAGTCACTTCCTCTTCACTGCAAACGATGTGCGAACGTTTTTCAAAGTTGTCTTGGAGAAACAATCGAATCAATACTTTTCGCTGATTAAGCTGCCAGTCGATATGTGCGACTGCAAAATGTTAAAAAGCAAGTTTATTCTGAATGTCACGATTCCCCGCTAGGTAGGTGGCACGAGGTTAAATGCCACATAAAAAACCTTCAGTGATCGCACGCGGCCCCCGGTAATTATTTAAAAAGCATACGAAAATGTTAGTTTTCTTTCGAGAACAAAAGCCGTAGGCTAAACATGTTTGAGTAATTAAGGAAACGATGAAACAGTCATCTGTACTGAATGAATACAAAAGCGTTTGTCAAAGATCAAGGACTTTCTTTAGCACGGCACGAGTCATATTTTTGTCCTTAGCTGGTAACACTATAGGATTCTTTTTAAGAGGGATGTGTGGGCAAACCTCCCGCAAGCTTCGTGGAAATATGCACGGAAGAGGATGTTGTCTAATCAATAAGTGTCTCGCCCTGAGCTATTGCAACCTCGCAATCATGTTCAATCCATGGGACACGAAAGAAAAAATAAATAAAAAGAAAAATATCGCATTAAATTCGACGCCGATATGTCGAACTTCATCCATCGTGCCCTTCGAAAGCCTGCTTGGAGCCGGTGAAAGCAAGTGCTATCGATTTAATTAACAATTAATATTTTATTAATCACGTTAATGACGATTCAGTTTCGTCTAATCACGGCCTATTTGATCAATTATTTGAAAGCCAAAATACTTCATCACAAACAAATGCTCCTTAATTAAGAGAATTACAGTTCGCGCTACATGGCAGGGACCGCGCTGGAAGCGGACCAGAGAACGAAACGCGCTTGAAAAACCGTCGTAATTACGCGCTGTCGAGTTCGGAACGCGCCGGGAGCCGCTTGAAGATTGCGCACTGAAAGGCGAAAAAATTATATTACGGGCGCTTAATTTGCCATGCTCTCATGTTCAATTAGCACAATTAAATATTAATATAGAGTGATTTGCTTACATGCTTTCTGATCCGGTGGTGACACCTGACATAATTTTATTAGAAAATAGCACCAGGGCGCGCGCTGATTGGCCAGACGCGGCTATAGATATTAAATCCGAGGTAATAAGCACTCTACAAAGAAGACCGAAAGTTTGGCAGAATCGCAGAAGATTAGTAATGGAGCCAGCGACCGACGCGAACGGACCAGTCAGAGGAGCAGCCATGGATCACCGCGAAGATCACAGTACAACTTCTTTACTGGAATTAGTTCCAAGTCTGGAGCACTCGATCGTCGGAATACTCAATCACAACGGCGAGCTAAACGAGCAGGATTCTGGTAGGGGCTATATATATCTTGTTAGGGTAACAAATCTTCGAAAATTTTCTGCTCATCATTCACATTAACCCACCTTTATAAAAAATAAATTTTCTAATGACTTGAGTGAGAGCTTCTTCTAATTTAATTCACTTGATGTCTGCCTCAACAGATAGCGCTAAGAACGGTTGTGTAGACGGCAAGAGCTCCCCGACAGAGCACAGGAAGATTGATACTGTTTCTCTTGATGATGAAGATAGAAAGGCCAGTGATAGCCAAGGCGTCAAACAGAAGCGCCATCGCACTCGTTTCACACCGGCTCAACTCAACGAGCTTGAGAGGTGTTTCGCTCGGACTCACTACCCAGACGTTTTCATGCGAGAGGACCTCGCCGCACGCATTGGTCTCACCGAGTCGAGAGTTCAGGTACAAACCTTAAAAACCTGCTATTTATGATTAACTCGATATCAATGGGAGAAAAATAGAAGTTTAAGGATCTTTTGGTATAATGAAGTTTATGTAACGGTTTGTTTTGCGATAGAAAACAAAAACGCTCGTTTCGTATAAATAGCTCTTAATCTTTGCCACTTTTACCTTCTAGCGAGCCGTGCGCAATACGCTGATCAGTTAGAGTTTAGTATCTGATTTCTGTTAAATGATAAAATCGTTTACGCCGCCACCAATTTTTTCCGGCTATAATGATATATTTGTATACTTTTCCCCCTAATCACTTTCACACTGCGGAAAGACTTGTACAAACCTTTCACTACAAAGAAACTGTCTAAGGACTTAACGTCAGAGAACGCGCAATATTTGCGGGAAGAAATCAAATTTTATTGCTGTGAGGACGATTTATTATTTTTATCGCGAACACAACAAGAATTGCCTTTGTGGTATTAATTTGGTTTTTGTTTTGAGATACGCTTTACCGGCGGTCATATGCGAAATAGAAATGGCACGTTCCTTGCGGCTAAATTTACTACAGATAACAATACTCCGTGTCATAACATCTTTGCATTTAAAAGCCCTGTATTTGTCCTATTGGACTCTTATTTCAGGGATTTTAACCGTTGGCGTGGCAGAAGAAGGCAGACCGCAGTTTTCTGAATGTACACAATGAATAGATTATTAAAAACACATTCAATAGCAATGGCCAAAATAAACCTATTGGAAATTCTAATGAGGAAGCATAAACGGAAAAGCTCTTTCTCGTGATTTTTAAAAGTTATCTAAGCTATTATGACTAAGGAGTGCAAGTGAATAATAGACACGGAGAAAGGGAAACTATTATCTCGTAACAGTGTGTCGCAATTGTCAACCGAAGCGTGTTTACATCGGCCAGAAATAATTGCTTTTAAATTTTAACCAGAATGGAGAGTGTACTTTCGTTTCTTTGGCTCCGTCATCAAGTTAATTGGGAGCCTTCTTCTTCAGTGATTCAGATACTCTATTAGAGTGAAGAAGCTTGTCAAATTTCGGTTATCACAGATTCGTTATTAAACGATGGAAATTAGCTACAACTTGGCTCCAAACACCTGTTTCAATACATTTTGTGCTTTGATCGCAGACAGCTGAAATTCTTAGTGTAGTTTTGAAAAGTTCGTTCTAGAAACCCTGCGTGGTTTTCGCTCATGAAAAGCGAATGTTGTTATCGCCATTTGCGGTAAAGTCATCTTTGGTTCGGCTTTGTAAATAAAGACATATCTTTAGTGACCAACAAAATTCTTTCATGAACTGTTAAGGGAATCTACTTTTTGTCCTACGTAAAATTGAAAAGTCACTTGTAAGACATTAAATTCTCCCCTGGAGCTAATAGCGGGATGATTCGTGGGGCTTCGCGCTGTCTATCTGAAACAACAACACAAACTTGCTCGTGTCGAAAGAAAACTATAAGAAAGACAATGCCCACTGAATTAGAGCGAACTTGTAGAGCTGGACCGAGGATCGAATAGAAAAGCGTAATTTGAAAGACAAAGCAGACACCGGTGTTTTTTCACGTAATTAGAATACCAAGAAGGCGGGCAGGCTCGGCTCTAGAGTAATTACGTTTTTCATTTCGTCAAGTTCTTGGCCGCGTTCTTATAAAAGAAAGCGAAGTTAAGAAGTGGATTACCTCAAAACCGCCTTGGTATTAAACCGGGCACGGCGACAAACCGTGTTTACTTAAAAAGAATATTTGACATGGTTTGCAATCCGCTATTCAGCGCCATATTCTACATAGAAGAATGTAGCTTTACACAACAGCTACGGTGTTAAAATGCAATCAGGATATCCTTACAACTTGTGGTTCTTATGTTGACTTGCTCGACAAGAAGACTTCACTTCCGTTTCTTTCTCGCTGTTCTCCACCAACGCAGCGAGTAATGAAATTAAAGATAATTATTGGACATGCCGGGCTCGTATCGCTTTTTGGTTATTCGCATTGTAGTAAACGATTGTTCTGAAAAACTAAGTGATTAGGAACACAAAGAAACCAGACTTTCCACCACGATTACATTATTTTCATGTCTTTCCCAACGAGAAACAAACCGACATTCACTCAAAATGAATACGTTCATGGTAGCATTTCTATTTTGAGTAAACTGCATCAAAAGTTTGGCGTACTGTAGAGGTTTTTCTTTTAGTCGTCTAAAAAGAATTCTATAATTAGGGTCTCATTTCACCTCATCAGTACCAAAATGTGAGGCAGTGAGTAAATGGAGTCTATGTTTGAACACGAATCATGTTAATGTATACATGTTATTGAGAAGAGATGGCTTCTTGTACTTTTTCGGTTATCGGATTGTTTCGAACAAATCGTGGCAAATTGAAAATATTAAGCAGCACTACGGGTGGCCAATCTTTAGGCGTGTCAGGCCAATGCATCGAGCTATCAGAGCGAGATAAACATGTTCGACCCTGACCTGGAGAAAGAAAAAAACCAAAACAATTTACTCAAAATTCTAAGCGTTCATGTCCAAATTAATGTTATCGCAAATTACGAGGAAATGCGACCAGAAACATTTGATGTAACTTAAAAATCAATTTCATTTAAATCTGACGCCTGTACTTTTCGTTTAAGTTCAACTGCTATTGACACAAAAAGTTTGTTCGCGAAGACGTTTATGGCAAAATTGCCCGCTGGAGTTGAGTTTAAGGGATTTGATGTGTTGCGACAAGTCAGACACGCGGCGGTATCGCACGCCCAAGCAATACTGTGAGTTATTTGCCGGGATATTTTCTGAACCATTGTACAAAATATTCTATAGCGGTCGGCACATTGGCGGCACGGACCTCTGTTTGCTTTAGAGGTATCGATAGGTTATGCCGGGTTGATCAAAGTGCAAAATGAAAACATCAAGTCTTTTGTTTGTCTTTCTTTTTTTCTGGCAAAATCAAAATCGCAAAAAGGAAAAAAATTGGACTAAGCCCCTATCATTGCTTAGAAGAGCAAATCTTTGAGTACCTCTATTTCTTACACCATTTGCTAAACTATAGTTTGTTAAAGTCAATTAATTCGTCTTTAGTTTCATCAATAAGGACCTGAGAGCGGTGTATATCAAAGATTTGAGTTGGTGAGAAAGTGACCTGCCCAGCCAGAAAGAACGTTACTATATGTTCAGTTGAGGTTATTAAAAAGAAGCCCCCTTTGTCGGCAAAACACCGTATTCATTGTCACAAATCCATAGCAGAGGTAATCGAAAAAATAATTACAAATGGTTGAGATTTGAGTAAGGTGGGAAAAGTACAAAGTAGAAACGATGAAAAGCATGTACACTTGCCTTCGACTCTATACGATCATCATCTGATCCAGAACGATAATATATAAAAAGTTCTATAGCTTTTCAAAGAACAAAGCGTCCAAAACATACAAAAATATAAATATTGAATCTCTGTTGGTGTATCATATTATAGAAATATAAACTGTAAGTTAACCAACAAAGAAGAGAAGCGATCAAATTCAGCCCCGGAGGGTAAAAATCATTATTTAACAGCAATAAATTTTGACGGAAGTTATGTGAGAAAGGGAAGATTTCCCGCCTTCTCTATCAAAGCTATAATGTTTTTTTTAAACTTTCAAACAAAATAATAAATGAGGGTGCGTTTTGATTCTTTTTCTCAAAAATTTCTGAGTGAAATCTGACATTGGCAGCATATGCTTCAAGAACCGTGTACAGGGAGGCGACGTGGTGTTACTTTTGTCAAATAGGAACGGGTACCAGCTCAATTTGGGACATTATCACAGCATCAATCTTTGTCATGATAACAGTTTAAGTTTTACATTTTCTGCGTTGATAAGATTTTCTGAGAAAACTTTGATTTCCCCTATTCAAATAGCAGCTGCGAATTCAAGAAAATATACGACGACTTTTTGAAGGGGTTTCAGGGCCGGGGCATAAAGGAGAAGCATCTGTTCTCGTTGGATCGTCGGTTTTTCCTTCGGGGCGTTTATCTCAAGTACTTCTCAAGCAATAGGTTAGGATCTGAGCTGTGTTCTACATGTGCTTTTTTGGGTCTGTTCAAACAAAAGTATCATTTTAGTTTGTTAACTTGCGCTGACATTAATTTTCTTTATCCTCAAATTGGAGCCTTGTTTATCTGATGGAAATAGTTAACATTTAACATGCTTTTTCGAATTCCTTAGTCATGTGTTTTTGTTATAAAGGTAAGCAGTGTTTCCTTCTAATTCAAGTATTTTGCTTTCTTATTTTTGCTGGTTAGGCCCAATACAAACTTTATCAAAATTAGCATTTTTCTTGTTTGTAGACGAAATTAAACAACCGAGATTTGTCGGCGAAATAAAAGCTAACTATACTTCTGTTTAAGCCGTATTGAACACAGAATGAGAAACACCATCTCTTTAGAAGATGTGATGGCTGAGAACTTATTCCTTGTTGTGAGCATCCGATGTTTGTCTCAGGCTACTTATGGGCCGAAAAGATAAAACAACATTTAGTTTGCTGAGATTCTCGAGCTTGTTAAATTTCAAGTGACTTCTCGCAAAATGCGAAATAATTGTGTGCAAATCGATATAATCATTTTCCGACAATGCCGCGAAGAAGATTAATTAAAAACTTCACCCATGTGTTTAAACAGCTTTATGAGCACAAATTTTGGCAGTCCTAGTTTCCTCTCCAGGGCAGAATTTTCTCGGAAAAGGAAACAGCAATTTGATTTTCGCTACCAGAGGTTAACCATCGAGAACAATTGTTTTATATCCGTGTCATTCAGCTAACAATTAACAATCTCAATTTCCACCTCGATTGGGTCATTTCAAAAGGTGCAGTTTTCAGTCCTTGTCTTATTAAATTTTACTGTTTTCCAAAACATTTTCATGCGGAAAAAATAATTACATTTAGACATTAACACTGTCTTCATTGTTGAACGGAAACGTTTCCATCGGCTCTCTCTGGACTGAAGTGTTCCGATTGCCACTTTTCAATAAAGACAAATGTTGTATAGATAACGTTCTCCGCACGAGAACTTTGGGAATTTATTTCAGATAAGTGCATCTGTAGCAAATTAGTTTTTTTTCCCATGCGCTATGGAAAAAGACCAATAGACTAAATTGAGATTTCATCTGGCGACGCTATCAGGAGGAGAGACTTCAATAGTTATAACCAATAACAAAAAGGGGGCAAATGCAGATTTTTCCAAACACGAAATAGTTTTGACAGTTTTCATTAAATTTAGATTAGAGAATTTAATTGGCAACTATCAGTTAAGTCAATTGCAGAAATGGAAATTGTAATGTATATTAAAACAATACTGGTTACGAGAAGAAAAACAAAAACGAAAACCAAGCACTCATTCATTTGAGGAAAAAAAAAACTTCATCTTAATTGTTATGGTGATTTAATTAGCAAGTAGCGGGATCGACCCTGAAACGAAAACCCCTTCTAATAACTATAAGTACGAAAATGGAAAAGAAATCATGCAAATGGTTTTTTTTTTTTTTTATCATAGTTCGGAGGCTTGTAATGAGTAGCAAATCTCAATGCATTAATATTGCAAATTATGGACTTCTTGTCAAAGCAACAGGGCAAAGATTGAAAGGCTAAGGCTTGGATGATCGTTCTGTGAAATAAGGTTGCCTCGGCCTCGCTTAGTGGCCGGTATAATCTGTGTGGTAAAACATAAAGTTGCGAAGTCAACCTATGTAATAAAAGACAGGTGAATTTTTTGTTAGGAGGTTGAAGCACCCTTCACATTAACTTAAAGAAAAAAGCTAATTGTATGTAGCTACTAACGAGCCCAAAAGGAACGAATATGGTCAAACATAAAGAAGATTAACTTGGATTACAAACAGTGAAATTGAAAATTTTAGTGCATAGACCGCAAAAATACCCTTTCATAGAAGATTAGTTCGTGATTCTTTCAACGAAGCATGCAGATATGCCTCGCCAACTTTAAGTAGTTGATTGAAGTAGACAAGTAGCGACATTAAATTTTACACATACTGCGTTCTTCTTGAAAAGGTAACCTAACGGTTATCTTTCGTGGGAGTTAAAAGCAACTAAAGAGTTTGTATCACTGGAAGCTCCAGGTTCTTAACGGCCTAAGGACCGAGACTGTAGCTTTCTCTGAGTAATCAGTATATCTACATAGTATCATAAGTTTGGATGGTGACAATTTCTGCAAACAGATATTCCAATGTGGAAAAGTTGCTAGGTTTGGCGTAATTAAAAATACGTGTTTCACGCAATGTAATCGACAAAATTCGGTATAATAGTAAAAAGGAAGACCCAAAGATGTTTAGATGATAAATTTCGTGCATTGACGCAATAGGAACTTTATCAATAGAGAGACCAAGCACCTGGATAGTTCTTACGACATCTATTAACTGATTACAATAGTGTTAAAATTGTAAACTCTATTTATTTGGTTTTCAGGTTTGGTTTCAAAATCGACGCGCTAAATGGAAGAAACGAAAGAAGACAGCTGCAATTCTTCGACCTCCTGCCCCGATTCTTCCGTCTCACATGGCCCAGGCGTACAACCCCAGCCCCATAGGTGACTCCTTGTGTACTTTCCATAATGATCATCGATGGCCCAGCACAATGGGCACAGCAATGCCAACGATGGCTCCAGTCACTACTCCTTCTCTTCCTCTCTCCCCACCGCATCACCCATTCGCACAGACTGGACATGAGGTTCTTCCACAGACATACTCACATCAGGGTTCTATGCCGAGATCACACCTCAGCATGTCCATCCAACAACAGGCCACCCCACCAGCCCAACAGACCTTTCAACAACCGTTTGGCGGAGCAAGGGAGATGCCCATTTCGTCTTCGCCTTCTCTACAAGATATCCAATGCAGCATTCCTAATGGAGGAGAGTTGTGGCGTGGTTCTAGTATAGCTTCGTTACGGAGAAAAGCCTTGGAACACAAGGCGGCTTTTACATATAGATAAGTAAAAGGTTCAGTAGCTCCTCTACGATATTGACAGAATTACTGTTGCAATATTGAAGCCTAAATTAGTGCTAGAGACAAGAAGAGAATCACCGGACACTTCTTGTCAGTTTTGGTTCAATATATTTACAATTAAGACATTTTTAAAATATTTTAAATTACCATTCTCTTTACGTCGGGTTTGCCAAGAGAAATTTTCACCATGTTTCTTTCCTTGCATCTCAAAAAGTAGATCATCCCATAAAATATATATATATAGTATACTTGAAGTCTTTTTTCATGATATCATTTGCTGAAGAAGAAGAAAAAGGAATCAAAATTCGTAGCCAAAAAGTGTAAGTAATGTAAGGGTCATTAACCTTGGACTATTGATTTTATTGTTGCAAAGACACAAATTCCTCCATCAAAATTATTCAGACAATTTATGAATGTTTAGATAGTTCCACATAACACTCGCTCGCTACTTTTTTAATTCCAACCCTATTCAAAATCATAGCGTCGCATTTTTTTTAGTTTCTGTCTGTCAGCCAAGCTCACCGGCTTGCCAAGTTTAATCACAAAGAAACTTTGGAATGAGTGCGAATATTACTTCACAGAAAAGAGAGACAATTTTTTTTGAAGAGGCTCTTTCGCTCTGGAATAACACCTAAAGTCGAATTTTGAATAACGGCTTTACTCTGTTAAGTCAAGATTGCACACATACTATCACCCCACCGCAAAAATTTCAACGTAAATGGAACCATAGAAATTCCAGACAACTGACCGAAAATTTTAGTAAAAATTTCAAGTATTTCCCAGGAACTATAAGGAGAGCTAATCATGAGCAAATTTTCCTCACAATCTCGAATTTACTGAGAAAATTGTGAAACTGTTAACGAAAAGGCGAACTATTGTTTTAAGCACAGAATAAGCAAGCTTGATGGAAGCCTTGTTCTTCTATCAGTTCAAGGAACACTTCTGTGCTAAATTTGATTTCTATGCTATTTCAAGGAAAAGCCTGCCGACAGCACAAAATTCTCATCATTTTCCCTAACTTTGCACATAACAAATATTCGTTCAACCCTTAGCCAGAAAAGATATTGACAGACGATAAATGTGTTAACCATTCCATCAGTCTATTCTTTTACAATTACGTAATATAATTTCATTAAGAGAAAAGAAACATTCACATGCTTCGAATTATGTTTTGGCTAAAACCCTGTATATACTGAAAGGACTATACTGCAATACTATCGCTAAATATACATGTAAATTTCCGCTGGAAACCTGTATGGTAACATTATGGAAAGATTAAGGTATTTCTGAGGTAAATTCGTCAATCAATTGAGCCTTCTCACATCTTATAGACAGCGATTTCTTGACACTCATTTATTTCGATAACTGCAGTTGTCATTTGACAAATGCAAGCCGAGTTGATTTCCACGGAGAACTTTTTCATGGCCGCACTTTAAAAGGACGCTATCAAGTTTGCGTTTTGAAGTGTTTTCCAGATGGAAGCAAATCAATCGCACGAATAGCACAGTATATTCCGCGCATATCAAGGCACCTCATTAACGACTATGTTGGCTACTCTCACATTTTCCTTAATTTCCTTACATTATTTTTGCAGTTATCGTTGTGCTCAGCTATCTATTTTTCTGCTATTTCATACATTTATTGATCTCCCAACTAAAGCAACTTCAACTAATAAGGAAGAAAGCTTTTGCCTTTATTGAAAAAAAAAATTAAATAACATGACAAACCATCAAGAAAACCCTGCTTTGTCTCGGTTTGATGGAAGAAGGGTAAGTCCCATCCATGTATTCCAACCCATCCTTGCTGCGTAACATCGCTACAAGCTTGATCTTTCAACTCTCTCCTTTTCATCTTTGCGAACTAAGTAATAGAAGTCGTATAAAATGTAACCTGTTCTTGAGAGAGCATCGCTTTGAAGTTGTTCATAAACGATTTGCACCTAGTCGCACAAATTCTTCAAAAGCATAGTAACGAAGACAAAAGGAACATTTTCCCGCAAGTACGTAAGAACAATAATTAATAAAGATAAAGTGGCTAGAAAGTCATTAGGACATGCACACAATTACAATAGATTATTTAATTGCTATTTAAGATAGTATAAACTATTTAAGTTCTTTCTGCCTGTGATAAAATCACGGTGCGTAGTTATTTTTGAGGCAACATTTGCCTCAGGCAACACTTTGATTGACGACAGAGCGGGTCACCAAAGACTGAGAGCTTATCAAGAGAAATGGTCAATCCAGCGTGTAATTACTAAACGAAGTCCAATTTTAAATAAAGCTTTATGACCTGATGATTACTGGCTTTGTTTTGGGGCTTAATGTCAATCCCAAGAGATTTTTTTCAATTCAGCAAAGCCTCTTGAAGGAAACTGGCCGAATTATAACCCTGTCGCTTTGTAGCTATGAGGCTAAGTAATAACCAGATGCCGCTCTACGCCATTTCCTTAAGGCAAAACTAACTTAAAAGGAGACATAAAGACGCCTATATTTCCCTCTTTCCACCGAAACCACAAGTTTTGCGCTGGATCCGGAGTTACCAAAGATAAATGGCCCATTGACGAAAGATGTTATGATTACGTATATACAAGGCCCCATTCAATCTGGAGGTTTCTGTGTCGGAATATCGTAAAGGTCTCGATTTAAGGCCTGCCCGCTCATGTCTGCGGGTTTCTTTTAAAAGCCAATCTATTGAAACGTGAGCGTAACAAAAATAGACAATATCCGACTGTTCGAAACACCTATTCGTACCACACTCGTCATTCTGATTTGAAAAGATTGTTTATCTTAAAATCTCCCCATCTAAACAAAATCCTCCAACCTAAATTTCAATCCTTCAATCAAAACACAAATCCAATGATACAATTATTTAAAAGACGCAGTTCACACAAGACCACGTTTCTTATTGGCCTTAATTTTTTTAATAACTTCAGCGGCACGTTCAGCGGAACTTGCTCTCCGGTACAATGTATCGTTGAACTGTCAACTGAGTGAACTCTTCGCCGAGAATCTTAATTAAATTTGATTTTAATTTCCTTCTTCAACTTTAAGGCCGCTACTATAGCTACACCCTCATTCTTTAAAATATCTGCTAATGAAAAGGGCACTGCTTACAATGAGTGACACAATAGTTAGTTTTCCAATTTAATGGAAAACGAAATTGATTTCGCCTTTGTAATAAACAGCTAATAACGTAGGCGCGTTGAAGTGTTTGAAGCAAATACGTGATGGATAAAATAAATAAATAAATAGGAAAAAAACATGCACCAACATACAGATTGAAATGATTTTTTAAGGCTTCCCTGTCAGAAAAAAATTATATGATATTTTTCGATAAGTCCTCTAAAATCAATTTCAGACTTAAATCCTCAACGATGCAGCCATCCTTTCAAGAAAAATCGGACTGCTCCGAAACTGAATTATCTTTTGCAAAATTTTCCTTATGCTGATTTATTTGACGCTTTGCTTGAAGAATCACGACCTAATTAGCATTTTCTTTTTAAGAAATATTATGCCTGATTTTAAAAGAACTTGTTTTAATTTACTACACGTGTCATGTCTGCTGTGCGCAAGCGCAGTTTGCATGGTTACAGTGTCTCCTCGAAACCGTTAACTTTACTTAGCGATTTCAATCCTATTGCCACCTCGGGATTACCAAGTCGTGCAATTAATAGCCACTAATTACACACATTAGGCTAAATTTAAGCTAATTTCGAGAAAATCGTCGACCAAAGGCCCCGAATTTGTGATCGGTCATTAACAAGCATTGAATGATGCGAGCAGCCGAAATCTAGAACTCATAGATTTCAATAACGCTTTAGATATTCCTTTATGGTGTGTTTGCCGAAGGGTTGGTTTATCCAATATCTACCTTTAGTATGTTTATAGAACTGTGATTAGAGTAAATCACTTAAACACCAAACATCACACGCAAGCTAAACTCGAGTACTCAATTATTTGTCGTCAAAACCAATATCGTTTTTAAAACCACACTTCAAAACGTTGCGTGTGAGGTCGAAATTATTAAATTTGTTGCGAATTCATGGCATAGCGCACCCACTTCGACAATTTATGCGTCGGAAAGATGTCAAAAATATCTACAAAAACTTAATCCCAAATAAGCACTCACAGCATTCAAAGTGTAATTTATTGCGGCGAGGGACGAAAAAATTAACCTAACTTGGAAACATCAAGTGCAGAGAGATATCCCGGCGTGATTATTTATTGTCAATCAAAATAAGCATCTCTTTCTTTTCCATCTAATGTGTGCTCTACAGTCTACCAAGGCTGCGTTCATTAGTGATTAGTAATCACCGCTCTTGTCACTGCTAACAAACAACCAGGTAATTTCAATACAATATCAGAACATAGAAAATATTGAGTTCTGAAGCGTGATTGGCTAGCTTTTTGTTATCTAGATATCTTTTGCATTATTTCACCCGCCTTGTCCTGTTAATTCGCTGTTAGCACGAGCGACCGTAGTATTTTGTAACAACTTGCGGGACGATAAGTTTAGTCGTAGTTCAGACCTGCTATAGTAATGACCAAAATGAGTTGCCACATCAAGAGCGATTCGATGCCACAGAAGAACGACATCCATAACATCAACAGAGACGGCGAAAATGATAACAAAGACCACTTTCTCAGCGAAATTTTTAAGCGAAAAGACGGAAAGTGTAATTCACCCACAAGCTCTAAGGAAAGTCACAGCGACCGTGACTCAGATCTCGAAGACTCAAACAGTGAATTTCACGGTAGGAGGCAAATCCTAAGCGATGTTGATTTAAAATGAATGTTTCGTTTATTTACGTGGCCACGGACTGTCAAAACAATCTACTTTTAATTGAGTAATCTAAACAACAACTGTTTTTTTCCTTCTCAACAGATGAATTCACTGAGGAGTCGTCAAAAAAGAAACACAGGAGAAATCGCACGACTTTCACCACATTTCAACTCCACGAACTTGAACGAGCGTTTGAAAAATCGCACTACCCCGATGTGTACACTAGGGAAGAACTCGCTCTTAAAATTGACCTTCCCGAGGTTCGGGTACAAGTAAGTAAAAACATTTGATTTTGCCTAATTTCTTTATTATGTTTGTAAGTAGAATTCATTACGAAATTTAGATATCGCTTTACCTTTGTTAGCTTTCTTACTGAGCCAATGAATCAAACTGTTTTCATTTTAATAAACAGAGTCTGCGGTTTATTTTCCCTGCGGCGGTTCGGATGCCTGTCGAATTCTTTTTAATGGTTATTTTCAGTAATTTTCAGCTGCCGGTTCCGTATGATATAAGAAAAATCAAATCAACCACGTCTTTGTCGCTCCGATGAGAAAAAAAAAAAAGACAAGAAAAAGAATAGATCTTTTCTTCGAAATCACGAAACAGCGGAACGGGACATATTGTTTTGTACGTGTTTTGTCTTTCTTTGTGTCTTTTTCCGTCTCCTTTGCCGAGTATGAAGTTGATTAAGTCCGTACACACCACGTTGCTGTAGTGTGAGTCCAGTCATTACTTATTAGGAAACTGTTACTTGATACCAACCAAATTACACCAAAAACTTCAAACAAAAACAGACCTTGAAGTTTCATACTTTGTCTGGAAAAGACCCACTCATTATAAACGAACATTAACGGAAAACAGGCCCATAATAGACAGGAAGATGGTTCTAATACTAACAACAACCAAATATTCACAAACTAAGCACACTAGGCTGGTGACTCCACAACCTAATACTTTTCCCTCAAACATACTTAACAATCACGATTCAGTTCTGTAACGAGGAAATATTTCGCTAGTTGTATTACTTACTTTCAATCAAGCCACTGCAATTTCTGTTTGGCCCTACATCTCTGATAATGACAAAAAAGCCATTAGTGAGTGAAACCTATTGCAGACACTTATTCCTTAATAATACGCTTTTTCAGAATTGAAAACAATGGCACACATAACAGGACAACGATAAGCGTGTGAAAAACGCATTCTCCGACCGTGGCAAGAAAAATAGTTTACAGAAGGCGTCAAAATTAGAATACAACCCTAATTAAACTGTCATCCGAGGCTTTGTGTTAGATTCGATGGACCAGGTTTAAAGAAAATATTCTTAGACAGCTCGCTTGAAAGACGCATGGCCTGCGAGAGATTTTTGAGCGCCATGAAAAAAGTTGGTGGAGTCAACACGTTCCTGTATTGTATAGCGCTACAAAGTTTGAAATCTTGGCCAGGACAAAAAGTAAGATCGTTAGAATTCGTTAGAGCAAGGTGTATCTGTAGCCAAAACTAAAATTAAATCAGTTCTGAACTGATAACGTTTCCTTTGACTGAACGCTTCCACGCCAAAAGCGTCACCAGACCTAGAAAATTGCGGTTATTTTAATTGCAGTGACATTAAATGCATGTATGGTTTTTCTCTTTATCTCTTACAGCACAATGTAAAGACTGTTTTAATTTCCTGCAAATTTTCAATTTAAACTTTATCTCTTTGCTAATTGGGGAAGAACAATAGTGAAACTCGCGATGGCAAACATATGCACAGAGGATAGAAAACACCATTTCGATGACATTAATCTTAAAGTCTCAGCAAGTTCCCTAGCAGTCAAATTTACAGTAACCAGTCCAAAGATTGAGAAAGAAGCAGTTTCGATACCATAAATTCACCTTCCGTTAGTGGCGCTAAAGAAGATTGTAGTAATTATTGTTGTCTAACCATAAGCTAAATATTTTATGCTCCGTTTGTGTAAAAGACGCAAATAATTATCGCTATCTGCACGCACCCATCACCTGTGTCTGTTTTTATTACATCCGATCGAGTAACAAAGCACACATATTTAGGAAGAAAGCTCCGTCGTTCTTTGAATTCGCTTGGACATAATGCTTCTAAATCATCCTTAAAAAAGCAAGGTCAATAAACAACCAGGACACTAGGATATTCAGAGGCCTAAAAAGAACTGGGAAAATGTCAATTATGCCCACACGTCTCTCTTAGCCTCTGATGTGCATTATACCAATTTTCAATATGGTTTTAGGAATACTGCTCTCCCAACGAATAACATTATTCAAACTGGTTTCAGAAACGACATACCGGATATTTTAAAGATTGATATAACCTTCCCTTTGGTTCATTGCAGACATCAAATGAAATTTCAGTATTTTGTATGGTCAAAAACTGCTTTATCTTAATTAAAAACGTTGACTACAAATGAAATTTATCTGATGGCTCACATAATAAAGAGCAGGTGGTGGAGATTACTTTATAAGTTCCTGAAATGTAGTGCTAGTTTTATCTTAACATAAAACCAGTGTAACACGTCCTTGGAGTCGAATTATTACGGCTTCCTTCTGCCTTCACATTAACTATCTATTCATAAAGTATGATGATATACCGGGATATTTACCACTCCTCTTCCTTGCTTTATGTTGGACTAAAGAATACGCGCGTTGCAAACTAGTTAATCGTCTGCACTCAATCATTTTACAGGTGTGGTTTCAAAATCGTCGAGCCAAATGGAGAAGGCAGGAGAAGATGGAGATGGCTTCTCTTGAACACATTCCTCCCCAAACAATATCCAGGCCAAAATTCAACAGTCTTCCCTTTCCCGATCCGTGGAAGAGCTCCCTAACCTATTCAGCAGCCTTTGGCGGGGCCTTGTACCCTCCGGCAAATGTTCCGACATCTCCGAATCTCGGTTGTTTCCCAGGATCGTTCGGTCCCACAAGTTATGTACCGTTCTCGTCTTATCTCCCTGGAATGGGATGCATACCTGGTGGACACTCGGGTGCCCGAGATGAGAGAACAACAAGCATTGCATCCCTGAGAATGAAAGCAAAAGAGCACATGGAAAACCATACTTTAAAAGAGTGGTCTGAAATGCCAACTGCGACGCAGTGAAAAAGAATTGGTGCAGCGGATGAGAATAGGAAACAAAAGTAAATAGGAGAGAGAATAACCGATTATTTAAAGAAAAGTTTGACAGAGTTGTAATCTAGTATTTGTTCCCGTACTTTACGAATCCCAAATTTACGTGAAGATTCATGTCCAACTAAAATTTGAACTAGTAAGTTCAAATTTCAAAGTAAGTGACAAAATGAAGATAGTTTTTTTTTTATTAAATCACATCAATTCTACATTAGAAAAAATCGCAAACAACAACCACTGGCGAGAGATTTTGACATAAAAGTACAAAACGTACTTGAAACATAGTTTGCTTTTTCAATTTCTTCTTACGTAGTAATTTCTATCAAGAAATACAATACCCACGATTTTTGAGAAAACATTGGCCGTCGCGTAATCTCAGAATTGAAAATCACATGTCCGAGTTGGGCAAAAAGTATTATAATTTTCCATTTGGTTTAAAAAATGTCTTCTTACCTGCGTCAATATTATGATAGTAGTTACATTACTTATATTTAATGAGATACTTAAGTTTTTATTTAACTTTTCGCTTTAGCGTTGTTGTAAATTAGAAAGCTTGAAGCAAGCAGTGTAAATAAATGATCTGTTAAGTAGCTTCACATTTGTTAGAGGTAAAGCTCTTGTCATTTTTGGCAAATTAAATAGTCGATAAAATAAAGGTTTAAATGTGAAGCATGATATTGTTCTCTTTATCGGCTTAACTTTGAACTTTAATGTCCCCATAGTATTCTGAAGCTATTAGCATCCCTAAGAAACCACAACGGCTTCTCTGGATTCTACAGATTTAACTTTACAAAAGGCGGTTTCAGTCAAAGAGAAACCTTCTATCAAACGCTACATCTATCTACCGTCCGCGAAGAAAGCTCTTCACAGAGAATAGTCCCATTATGTTTCCTTACGTCAGAGTCTAGCCGTTTTGACCTCAAATTTGCCCAATGGCACCACAAAAGCGGTATCATTCCTGTTAAAAATGAGAAAAAAATGGGGGTAACGGGACACAAGACCACAACAGGAAAGAAGCAAAAGAGCAATATCTCTCAAACAATTAGAGCCATGCTGGAATCTTTACTAACAACGTCTTTTTCAAACAGCTTCGTCTGGCCTAAGGAAGAGATGTCTGTGAAAAATCTTTACTGTCCGACTTAATATTAGCGTGTCCTTTAACAAAGCTTCTCGCCATCGAAAGTTACCTAAGTTTTACGTAAGGATAAAGATAGAGATGCACGAATCTAACCATTAGTCAAGGTCTTAATATCTTCCGTTTCACAATTAAACCCCACAGTCTAACAAATTACTAGCGGTAGAAAAGACAATAATCAACAGGGGTATTGAGAAGTTCTAGAACTTCTAGAAACCTTGTGGACGTTTATTCATCATAAACTGAAAATTTGTGGTATTGCATCCTAAAAATTTCGCTTGCGTAATTAAAACAAAATCTAACAATATGTAAAATGTCGGTCTTGGGTACAATATAGCACTAAACAGTTTGGGGGTTTTTCCCTTCGTGTTGCGTCATCACTGACTTGAGTTTCGGGCGAGAAAGAGTATTCGGAAGCAAACTTTTACGAAAATGCTGCCAGATTTAGTCTTGCCACAAACGTCGTCGCTAGGTGTGCCTCCTATTCACTGCAGGAGGTGATAATTAACATTTAACAACAACATCGGAAAAGGGATTCAACCATTTCCCGAGTCAAAAATTGATTTTTAGTAAGATAAAATAAAATAACAAATATTTCTAAAAAAAAATAATTCTGTTCTATGGCAACCTTAGCAATTTAATACAGACATAAAAATTGCCTACAAGTTTCATTGACAAAATTCAAGAAACCAAGAAAATAAAGCATGCACGATTTGTACATTCTTTTCACGCACGACATCGCTCCATGGGGCGACACGAACACTGCCGTCTCTGCGACTAGTGCTTCAAAACAATATTCTACATTTTGATCATTTTGAAAATTCTATAAAAAACAAAAACTCTCTACCCGTTTATAACCATTTCGGTAATTCAACATGTTTTACGACTAGGCCAATTCTCAGGAAAAAATTTTGATTCTCCTGCTCTAACAATTGACTTTTGATTTAAAACTAAATAAAAGGTACTTTCAAAATCATTACGGAGAAAGAAATTCGTCAGTTTAATCCAAAATTTACCTCCTAACAACACAAATAAAACTTTCAAAAACAAGCGAGTCGCGTTATTCTATTCCTTATGCCAAGAGCTGACCCAACAAAGCAGATACTCTTATGAGATTAGTAATTTTCTTGGCTTGTTCATTCCCAAATGTGTTTGCTCACATGTTGAATTATTTGCTTTTGACACAATCTATTTGAAAAGCTGAATAATGCCGAAATGTTTTCAAATGCGCCGTTTCTAGAGAGAAGTTTGTGCGTTATTGGTATTTCCACTTATTCTAGAGTTAGATACCAAATTTTCTCCTTTAATGTTTGTGTAATGAGCACTAATTTAAAGGTGACAAGTACTTGTATCACTAGTTAAGCGAATAAATACGCATTATTTGAAATAATAACAACGTGTAAATTATCATAACGAAAACCTCTTCTTACACCAAGCTGCATATTTATGACAAAACTTCCCTAGCTTTCGTTTGTTTCAAGCCGTCTTCTTCTAAAGTTTATTCAGTGCACAGAAGCCTTACTTATCTGTTTAATCATTAACTCTTTTTTTTTAAACGTATCCTTTTCTTTTAACTTAAAATTAAGCTACAAATATATACTTTGGATAGTACTCCGCGACAGGCAAACTTGCACATTGACTTAACACGTTTTCTAAGCTATTATCCTGAAGACAAATAAACTGAAAAGGTGTATTGACTCAGTGTTTCGCCAAATCATTAGTGACTAAGAAACAGGTGACACCTTGTAAGAATTCATTGTCAACAATTCTTTGTTGCTGTCTTCCTAAACGCAAATGTACTTAATGAAATGAGACAAACCATTAGGAAATTTTCCCAATAAAACTCAAAGGAGAAAAAGCAAACCTTGAATGAGGAATATTATACTTTTCGAAATATAAATAAGAGAACATAAATTTGGGCTTTGAGCTTCTGAATAATGATTTTTTTTAATTGTTTATCTTGATTGCTCTTCATTAACACGTGAGGTGCGGCAGTGTACGCAAGCAATCTACGAAATGTAACTTTTTAAGCCAACGAATTAGCATTTTGCATGGCAAATCAGGAGGGAACACTCGATAATGCTTGATCGACGTAGAAAAAGCATTGATAAAATTCCAAAATTTGTATTCTTAACATTTTAGTGTCTTTCAGTGCAACCTATGCGTCGAACACAAACTATATTGCTTTGTACTCCTTTCCTTTTTCCAAACGCTTTAACAAAAAGTACTTTCACTTAATAAGAACTATTGTCCAACAGAGCAAAGGCAGGAGAAGTCTTTTCTGACCACCACCTAAAACAAAGAGAGGTGCTCAAAGGAGCTCGTTTCCTGCGAGGTTGGCTAGTACTCTCTAGTTGGGTTTTTAATAGAAAAATAAGGGACTAATTGTTGATCGTTCTGAAGCAAATTTCCGTGCAACTTTTTTCTAAAGGATGAACTACCAACTGGGAAAGTTGATTTCAACAATATGTAGCCTTTTGCAAATTAGTAAATCATTGGAAAATACCTCAAAACATCGATCTTCTTATTTACGTTCCTTTATCACAAAATCAGAAACAATAGTATCTTGAACGTGTATACGACTACTAGAACTTCGCGCTCACGAAAAAAAAAAGCTAACGAACTCACTTCATAACCTATTTAAAAGAACAACAAACAATAGATTGAGCGTTTTAACAAAATCACTAGACAAGGATAATTGATAACAAATGTTTCCTAACTTTTACCTTAGCTTTATCTTTAAGAAGTGTTCACTAAACCTGAGAGCAAACTCTATATTTACTCAGTTTTTTTCTTAATTAATAATAATTATTAAAATAATATCAATAAAAAGATAGTTGTTCGTGTGTAACGTCATGTGATAACGTTGAAACTAAAAGCACAGCTACGAAAGCTTAAGATGAAAGCTCAACAACGTCAAGACGTAACAGACTTGAGTTATTCTCTGTAAAAAGCAATTTGGTGACACAAACTGAAACACGACACAAACAAACTATGGGTCGTAGATCTAAAGGAACATTGTCATGATTCAATATGCATCGGCATTTTTCAAAAGCTGGCTTATTTTAAGCAAAATGCTTCATCACTTAATTACCTATTGACAGCTCAACAGTCCTTTGTATCTAATCTTATCACAAATAAACTAGGCCTTGTTAAGTGTATTGGCCCCCTAATTAAGGTTCCAAATAATCAATACGGACTTTTGCTTCAGGCAATAAATATTAGCACGGCACGAACATCGAGGAGGTGCCATTAATTATTTGACTGGAAATACTTGATAAAAGACACTCTTAGATCATTATTTTTAGAGATAATCGCGTACAATTGTTTACGGGTTTTACTCACACAAAAAAGTCCAGAAACAAGTTCTCGGCGTAGATTGCCATCATGTATGTTTTGTTTTCCTAAAGGATATTAGGTGTTGTAAACAAATCACAAACAGATTATCAGCGGAAGTCCTTGTTCAGGACATCTGATCATCTTCCGCAGATTTCACTAAAATAAATAACTCCAACAAAACAGTTTGGAGAAAGCTTCTAGTTTTAGAGAGATTAGATAATTAAAGGCTGGACACTTAATACGTCAAATCAGTTTTCATTTAAAGCTATAGGTGTACCCGTGCATGCGAAAACGTAAATCAATTCCTTTAGAATCTTCGAACTTTGTACAGTTCATATTCAATTACGACAAATCCAGTTCAGAGCTTAGTTTTTCTCGTGCACAGTGATATTCTATTCAAGCTCGCAGAGGGATGACTTCACGATATTTTTCCTTGTGCGGAAAGCACTCACGCAACGCCCCTACATCCTTGAGAATGATCATTTTAAGTAATTTACGTGCAATTTACCATTTGAACATCTTTTAGCTGTGATAAGCAGAGGACATTA